AAACAACATTGGCAAACAAACTAAACAACAAAGTAAAAGATATAAATAAAAATAATAAGACAGAGCGTAGCAACAATGCCGGCTACTTAATTTCCCTATACATTTAAAAATCTGACCAATGTTTCCTATCTTACCCACATTATGTAAAAGTTCAAGTGTTGGGAAAATAATATTCTTCTAACTTTATATTAAGAACTGAACTTTTATCGTTACCATGGTATCTATATAATATAGTAGTCGGATTTGAATTTTTGGTCCAAATGTGAGGACAGTAATAGTTCAAAAATTGGGCATGTTTAATTAAGATAACTTGTTAAGCTAAAATGTTTTTCGATGGTTCCTGTGGCAGCTAAATGATATAGTAATATGAGTCGTTTTGAAAGAAAGAGACAGACAGCCGGAAATGGTTATATCGACTCGACTAATAATGTTGATCAGAAAGATATATATAATTGCGTGGCAAACTTCATTACAGAATTATAAAAACCTGCTAAAAACGTTGCTTGATTCGTTTGCTTCAAGAGTAGAGCAATAAATGCGTGTCGAAAAGTTTTTACACTTTGACAAGTTTACAAATTGTGTTTTTCTTTTGGCTTTTTCATTACATCTCATACCTCATCCTGAAGTCTTATATATGTTCCTGTTTGCGTCAAGTTGTGCCTATTGATAGAAACGTAGCAACTTCGTATAACATATAAAGCACTTGAAGTTTGCTAAGTGGCATTTAATTTGTTGAAGTGTTATTTGAAGAATAACAAGAGGATCACAAAATAACCAATAAAAACTTATTGCTTTAAATAAATTCAACTAATAGATAATAATTAAATTTATTCAGGTGTACTTTAAGTATTAAAAAGTTTATTAATAGGCTTTTGTTGACTTTTTAGACTTTTTAAACAGTTGCTCAATAGTTTTTTTTTTATAAATTGATAAATACAATATTTATTTTAAAAGCTCCAGTTCATTTCTAGCTCGTCTTTTATTAATTAATTTCAGTGATTAATTATTGAAATACCAACAAACTAGCAAGAGAAAAACTATTTTATGTTTATTTAATTTAATCATGAAGTTGGACAGATTTCATTAAAACGGATAAATTGCACATTTGGCTTACGCCTCGGTTGATTTACTAAGTTTTCCGCGAATGAACAAAGTGTTTGATGGCGAAACTTTTAACAGCGACTGTGGCGACTGTGGCGACTGCTTACATCACAGTCAAACTCACATGCAGCGGGATCAGAACATATAGAGAAAAGTTAACGAATGTGCATTATAAAAATTTATGGCACACAGAAATTAAATGAGTGCCATTCGTTAGAATTAGTTGCGAGATGAGCTCAGTAGCAAGCAGAAACAACTGATGATAGTCAGTCCTAGGAGGTTAAAGAGAAACGCTGGATTCCTTTGCAATTATAATGGGAAGCCATGCAGGATATGGTGGCATATTGAATAAAACACAGAACACAGAACAGTAAATATTCAGTGGGTGGGTTAATGAGCTTACCAAGTTTGGCAATAATACTAAAGACAGAATGGCCACGTGCGAGCATAGATGAATCTCAAAACATTTGACTGCCTAATTAATCAAGTAATCAACTTGCTAATCTCAACTGGAAGTACACACATATTTGCATACATATACGGATAGTATATGCCCAATTATAATATCTCACAGTCGAATTGCGCTTGACCAGTGTAGATGGAAAATTTATTACATGTTGAGCTATTATTCTCTCGCGGAAAACATACTAATTTCGTTACAAACTACATACAAAAGAAAAAGAACTATTACTTCCCTAATTTCGTTTTAATGTTTTCTGTGTTGAGGTTTAAGAATAATTGTTTGGGTTTTATTATCTTATAGTGATGTGCAGCCTATATTCAGAGAAATATCGCCGTGAGTTTTAAGAATTCGCACTTAAACAAAGTCGCCCAGAAAACTAGAATGTTTTTCTTGTTTCTAGAAATATTATTCAAATAAATGAAAAACAAATTTCTTGATATTTGAAAGCTTATATATTTTTCAGAAATATATGTCTTAACAATAAAAAACATTTTTAAAAATTGGAATACAAAAGTCATATTTTTAGAAAAGATCTATTCTGAAATTCTAAAGTAGAAATGAATTCAGATCATTCGACTTATACTTTTCAGAAACAGCATTTTTCTTTAATTATATTATATATTCAGTTATACACCTAAATGTTCTTCATAAAAAAATTAACAAGAAAAAATGTAATGTACCCATAAAAAATCCCTGGAAACTAGACATATTTTTTCTAAATCTATTTCAAATTTTGTTTAATTTAGAAAAGAAAAACAGTAATTTTCACAAATTTCATTTATTAATAATCACTGGAGCTGCCCTTGGCACCAATATACAGGTCGATTTCTTCTGAGTGTAAAAGCAGTCATCGATCAAAATATTTAAGTGGAAATATGGGAAAATGTGATGTTGGCTTGCGCAGATAATAAACTATCCATATTAAGGGTGTTTAAACATGACAACGACCCATATCATGCCAGAAAGTAGGGTCGGAAGACGAAATATATTTGGGCTGACATTAAAAAGCTCAGTTAATCAATAAAATGTCAATGTATATTATATATCAGTTGAAAGGGCCTGCCTTTAAAATTTTGGCTTTTATTGCTATAGGAAACCGATGTATATCGATATTCCCGAAACTGTGACAGTTAGCGATAAAATGAAATAAGATTGATCTGCGCGAGAACTTATACACCAAATTTGAGTCTCTGGCTCGTATAGTCTCTGAGATCCTCGTATTCATAAGGATAGATAGACGGACTATATCGACTCGTCTGTTATTCCTTGCCAAGAATATATATATTATGTGCGCCCAAGATGCTTCTGCCTGTAGTTACTCTTGCTCAAAACCATTATATTTTTTTGCTTATTTTTAATGGACGTCTGTCTTACTCAATTAATGCTGAAAGGATTAGCAGCTGATATTGTAAACAGTGGCCAAAAACTCAATATCCATTCATAAAATTTCATTATATCTTTTCGATATATATATTTTTTTGTTACGTGATTACGGTTATATTTTTTTTTATTTTCGTGTTTTGTTGCTCTGCTGCGTTAATTTGTTTATTGCAAAAAATACGCTTTTCTTCCGACTTTTGAGTAAAAACAAAATGTGATCATGAATCATACTCAAGTTTTTTTTTTGATAGTTGAAGCAAATAAAACTCAATAAATGTACAGAAGGAACACAAAATTTGATGTATGATACAGGGTGTCTTTTAGCTCACTTTCACTATTTCTTTATTAGCATACGGAATGTTCTTGTCTAATTTGTCGGGGGTGTGTATCATTATAAAAGAAAGAGAAAAAAATGACTAACCCAAAAATAAGATTTGATAGCACGATTGGCACGAGCACGTCGAAGTAAATAGCTGTAATTCAGGTGAGTGATTTTTACGATTTTTAGCAACTATTTTGTTTATTTTTACTGGACGCTATCTGTTTAGCGCTGTCGCTTCGGCAAATTATAAACAAAAATACTTAAAATCCGATGCTATGGAACACCCGTCCCGGTTTATATATTTAGCTCGGACCAGCCTTTCGACACTCAATATGTACATGAGCCAAACAATAACACTCCGAAAAAAATTTCACTGAAACTTAGAAATTTACCATAGTTTCGGCGACAAGGGCAGCTCAACTTATTGTTAATAAAATGTATTTATTATATAAAAAAAGAATATATCCAAAAGATTCTTGCTTACAAATAAGTCTTACATTTGATTTTTCTATTTTTTATAATTTATTATATTTAGTTTAGTTAATAAATAATATTAAATAATAATAATATTTCACATATACAAATAGTTTATAAGTTCATATCATTTAATTTCTTGGACTTATACACATTTCAGCCTTGATATCTAATTTTAATAAATGTTTTTCGTATTTTTAGCAATTATTTGTCAAAACCAAAAAAAAAAAAATTTCTTTTTTGCTAGGCTATGTTTTTTTTAATTATTGTAATTTCATTTAAAAAAAAAATATTAAAAATTACTTGTTAAAAATAATCAAGAAAACCTTTCTAGTTTGCAGGTTGAACTTTTTGCTGAGTGTATGCAGACTCCATAAACATTTTCATAAACTGTCTTTTGGCCCCCGAAATTCCCTCTCAAAATCACCTAAATCACCCGTACGCCTGTGGTGCGTTTATAGTTTCTTGGCCCAAAGCACGTTTAAGCGACGTACCAAATGCTGGCTAATAGATGCCACACGCTCGTTCTTCAGTCACAGTTGCACTTTGGCAAGGACCACTCTTCGCACTCCGTTTACCTCTGTGCACTTTTAAAGTTGTTCATCTTCATATATCCCAGAGGTGGCAAGTGGCACGATTGCGGTTTTTGTATCCCACTCATAAATTTGCCAGAGCAATACAAGGATTGTGTAGCCAATCCCAGTACAGAGTTATGACTTTGTCGTCATTTACTTGGCTTACATATGTAATGGGTTTTTTAGGGTCTGCTGCGATTGAAAATAACGGCACAGAAACAAAATAAATATATTTTGTTTTCAATAATTTATTATTATACATTTTTTTCCGCAATATACGATTGGGATTCAAAGTTTGATGGTATTTGTTGCAAAAGGTCAGCCAAAAATTAGCATTCACTCCAGAACAGAACCGAAAAACTAAATTAAGCGCTTTAATTAGCGGAAGCATAACGCGAGAAAGGAAAACAAAGAACCATTTGGGAAAAGGAAAACACTTGTTATCGAAATTTATGTAGATAAATATTAGCCTCTACTGCAACGGCAATTTATTACCGATATTGCATTTTGAAAAATTAAAAGATAAATAAATTAAAAGCAAACGGTTCATTGAAGATTTAAGTGATTACTGCATTTAATGTGTGACATTTAATTTGCACAGAAAATTCATTAATTTGCCAATCAATGAATCTCTGCGATTTCAGCTGTCAGATGTCAGCAAATTGCTGTAATTGCCGGAATTTACCTGGTCAATGTGTTATTTCCATGACGAGTGGTGCATTTTGAGCGACACTGAGATAAACACACATTTACTACATCAATTTTCAATTATCATTTATTGTGCTTACGTTTGTGTTTTTGCCTTTACTCGAATACCGAACGGAAAATAAGCGAAAAAAATCACTTTGCAAATTTGTTGTTGAAATTTCAAAATTTTTTAATCACTTTCACGTTTCGACACAGACAACAGACAACAGACACCAGGCATATCCGGAAACTGACTTCAACGCTTGAATTTCGCGCTATGCGAAAGATTTGCCGCTTCCGCCGTTCCGTTTGTGGCAGCTGGTGAACTTGCCACGACAAGCGAACGCAGACGACTTGTTGGCGCGTTCAAAAAGCTGTCGACAATACACAAACCAAATTGAACAAACCATTAGCTAGGGTAAGCCAGGGGGTAAGCGGCTATCACAATGCCAAATGCCGGCATTTAGAGACGCCTGCGCAGTTGTACTTTTTATATTTTCAATTATCAATTATCTTATTGCATTTCTGCAGATTGTCATTTTAAAAGAGAATTCGTTTGCATATTAAAATAATATTTAAATAAATATTTGTTACGGCTTCAAAGAATTGCAAAAGTTGCGAATACTATCATTGCTCCGACTCAAATGGCACTGACAAATTTAAAAATGACGTTACCCGGCTTGGTAACAATTCACAAATAGAATATTCTTTAAATATTATTTAGTGATCACATTATGTTAAAAATTATAATTGCATACAAATAGTTTATTTGGCAAGATCAGATAGTCTGTTCTCTGCTACAAATAAATGTTATTATTTTCTAATAAATAACATTGGGAAAAGTGACAAGTGTTGAAAAGTACTAAAAGGTATCGTTTGAAAACATCGATAGACTTACACATATCGATAGCAAAATACTTGTATTAGTCCTCTTTTCTTTGATGTCTTGTGAATGACATCGTTTGCTGTAATAATTGTAAGTTTTATTAAAATACCGTGACTAGTGCGTATCTAAACAAGTTGGCGCTACAAGTGCAACATGCAATGCGTGCATAGCAACAAGAAGAAATCATTGTTTTTGCGCCAAATGCTGGCTGTCAATGTTTTTTGGCAAACGCCATGTTGGCCGCTTGCACATAACCTCAACACCGAACGAACAGTTGACACCCCAGTTAAAAATTAATGTGCATTTATCATATGTATATATATATTGGCTTTTATTTTGTTGCAGCAAACGGCATAAGCAGAAGTAAACACCATGTCGCGTTTCTTTGCCAATGGCTCGGACTCGGAATCCGAATCCAGTGAGGAAGAAGTCCCAACCCAATTCAACAACAAAGCCCAAAATTTCGTAAGGAAAAAACTCGCGCTTTTGGCGCAATAGAAAATAGATTAAAAATAAAAATTTGCATTCCATTCGCAGCAATTTAGCGATGATGAGGAGGAAGTGAAACGTGTGGTGCGCTCTACAAAGGAGAAACGCTACGAGAATCTAACGAGCATCATTAAAACGATACGCAACCACAAGAAGATTAAGGATATACCCAATACGCTGAGCAGCTTTGAGGATTTGACACGCGCCTATACCAAGGCGCTGCCCGTCATCTCCAAGGAGGAGAACGGAATAACGCCGCGCTTCTACATACGCTGCCTGGCCGAACTGGAGGATTTCATCAATGAGGTGTGGGAGGATCGGGAGGGACGCAAAAACCTCTCCAAGAACAACTCGAAATCGCTGGGCACACTGCGTCAAAAGGTACGCAAATATATTAAGGACTTTGAGGACGATCTGGCCCGTTTCCGTGAGGCACCCGACCAGGAGAGCGATGTGGATGAAGGTGAAGGCGATGTCCACGATAGCGATGCCGATCGTGCCGGTGATGATAGCGATACCGGTTTTGGAGTCGGCGCCAAAATGGCCGAGTTGCCCAAGGCAGCGAAATCGTCGGTGCAACCAACGAAAATAATTGCAGATGATGATGATTCCGAGGATTCGATTGACTGGGATCCGGACACCGAATCGGAGACGGAATCGTCTGAGGACGAGAATATGTATCAGAATATGCGCGAACGTTTCCTCAAGCGTACCACCGAAAAGGAGGACAAGGACGACGATAAACGTAAGGATAAGCGCAAGGAGCAGAAGCACAAGGTGCGCAAACGTGCTGATGACGATGAGGATGGCGAAGGATGGGAAACCGTCGTCAAGGGCAACGTTGTTGAGAAACCGAAAATGTTTGAAAAGGATGCCGAAATCGATGTACCCCTCGTCCTGGCCAAACTGATCGAGATCATGTCGGCACGTGGCAAGAAGCGCACAGATCGTCGTCTCCAAATCGATTTGTTGTTCGAGTTGCGTGACATTTCCGAGCAGCATTCACTGGGCACCGCTGTCGCCATCAAGATTCACTTCAGTATCATTTCGGCGATCTTTGATTATAATCTGAAGATATCGGAGCCCATGAAGCTGGAGCATTGGGCGCTCTTGCTGGAGGTGATGCAGAGCATGATGAAGTTGCTGCTGGCCAATCCGGATATCAATATGAACGAGAGTATCGCCGAGGAGCACGAAGAATATGCGACGGCACCGTTCTATGTCCGTGGTTGTCCCCTTGCGGCCGTGGAGCGTTTGGATGATGAGTTCACCAAACTGCTGAAGGAATGCGATCCACATTCGAATGATTACGTATCGCGTCTCAAGGATGAGGTCAATGTGGTGAAGACCATTGAGCTGGTTGTCCAATACTTTGAGCTCTCCGGCAGCAATAATGAACGCTGTCGCATCTATCTGCGCAAGATCGAGCATCTCTACTACAAATTCGACCCGGAAGTGCTCAAGCGCAAGCGTGGCGAGCAGCAGCCAGCGACAGGAGCAGCGGGTGCCACCCCAGCAGCACCCGTCCAATCCTCTGTGGAGGTTATGGATAAACTATGCAAGTTTATTTATGCCAAGGACGATACGGATCGGATTAGGACGCGTGCCATCTTAGCGCACATCTATCATCATGCAATGCACGACAATTGGTTCCAGGCACGTGATCTGGTGCTGATGTCCCATCTGCAGGATAACATCGATGCAGCGGATCCATCGACGCGCATCCTCTACAATCGCATGATGGCCAATTTGGGACTGTGCGCCTTCAGGCAGGAGAACATCAAGGATGCCCATCATTGTCTTGTCGATCTGATGGTCACCGGCAAGCCGAAGGAGTTGCTCGCCCAGGGTCTGCTCCCACAGCGTCAGCATGAACGTTCCGCCGAGCAGGAGAAGATCGAGAAACAGCGCCAAATGCCATTCCACATGCACATAAATCTAGAGCTGCTCGAGTGCGTCTATCTGGTGTCGGCGATGCTTCTCGAGATACCCTATATAGCAGCGCATGAATTCGATGCACGTCGTCGCATGATCAGCAAAACGTTCTACCAACAGCTGCGCTCCTCGGAACGCCAATCTCTGGTTGGTCCGCCCGAATCGATGCGTGAACATGTCGTCGCCGCTGCCAAAGCGATGCGCTGCGGCAATTGGCAGGCATGCGCCAATTTCATCGTCAACAAGAAGATGAACACCAAGGTGTGGGATCTGTTTTACGAGTCGGAGCGCGTTCGCGAAATGCTCGTCAAGTTCATCAAGGAGGAATCGTTGCGCACGTATCTGTTCACCTACTCCAATGTGTACACCTCGATCAGCATACCATCGCTGTCGCAGATGTATGAATTACCGCTGCCCAAGGTGCACTCGATCATCAGCAAGATGATCATCAATGAGGAGTTGATGGCCAGTCTGGATGATCCCAGCGAGACGGTTGTTATGCACCGTTCGGAACCGTCGCGTCTGCAGGCACTCGCCATGCAATTTGTGGATAAGGTGACCAATTTGGTCGATGTGAATGAGAAGGTGTTCGACATGAAGCAGGGCAACTTCTTCCAGCGCGGCAACATGGGCAATCGGGATCGTGGCTACAATCGCAACCAGAACAATCAGGGCGGCAATTGGGGCGGACAGCGACGCGATAATCGCAGCCAGCGCAATCGCAACCAGCGTGGACACCATAAGCAGAACCAGCAGCAAAATCAGCAGCAGCAGCAACAACAAGTCCACACCATCGACGAGGAGTAGACGCACCACACAGACACAATCGGAAACAGGAACAGTTCTATGGATAACACGCGGCAATTGATTGAATGGGAATGTGGACTTGGAACAGCTGCTCCTTACGTTTGTGGATGGACCTCCGATTCGGATTACCACACCGGATCGGAGGTCTATATTCATCCGCGAATCTCTCTGGGCAGCAGTTTCCAATTTCGTTGCCAGTCCATTTTCCGTTACGTACTGTTCTGTGAATTTGTTTGCTTAAAAAAGAAGAAAACTAAAACTAATTGATAAATGCATTTTGTATCAACTTAAATCTAAAGTGCGCAAGTCTTTCATCAAAATAAACATTAAACAAAAAAAGAAAAGAAAAAAACAGAAAAACTAAAAGCAGTCGTTTTAATAATGATAATACGATGGGTGAAACAAGTTTTTAATTCATTTGCAGTCATTTATCAGCTTTTTGGAAGTCAGCAGCGTACCAGCCATTATCAAAGGGACATTCCAAAGTACAAGCGAAATATCGATTTTTTCAATGTATCGATATAATTGTATCGGCAAATTGTCTGCCGCCGACTCACGTTTTATTGACCATATTATTTAACAATTGAAAATTATCAATTAAAAATTAAATACACTGCAGCATGAACAGCATTGGGGACGATTGCAATGAGCTGAAAAAGCAATACGATGCTTGCTTCAACAACTGGTTCTCCGAACGTTTTCTCAAAGGCCAAACCAATGATTCCGTCTGTGCGCCCATTTTCAAGGTTTATCAGGAGTGCGTCAAGGTGGGTGATTGACATTATAATAAATAATAATAATTAAGCCACACACAATAATTGTTAATATTTCCTCCAAACCCCCGCGCACAGCGTGCAATGCGTGAGCAGAAAATTGAATTACGTGAAATTGAAACGGATTACAGCACCGGCCCCACTGAATACGACAACAACAACATTGGAGGAAGTTCTCCGGGTGCAGGAGCCAGCAAGCAGCAGGGCAAAAGTTGACCTCTGACGAGGGACTTACAGCCGTTCCATGGTGATACGATCAGAGCAAAGTCCGAGTCCCACATTCACGGGCAGCAGTCCAATGGGAGTGAAGACGCATTCCCCTGGAAGCACAAGCGCGGCTCCACAATCTAAAAAAAAAAAAACAACCAAATAAAAAGAGAAAAGAAACAAATACAAAGTGTATATTAAAACGTTCAAAGAAATTAATATTAAGTGGAATAAATAGACCTGTAACGGGATTACTACGATTAAAGTTTGTAAATAGTATGTGAAATTAAATTAATATGTAGTTGATGAAATTTGTATATATAATGTGCAAATATTTCGCATGAAAATAAATTCTTAGAAATTATCTTCTTTTTATTTATTATCTCCATTTGACTAAGTCGACTGTCGACTGTAGACGTTTTGTGCTAAACTACAGGGTATATACACGACCAATCAGATAGCAAATATGTTTACACAAATCCATATATGTATATTTTAAGCTTTGTGTATGAAGCTATTAGAATTAATTCCAAAATGTGAATCCCAAGCGTTCTTATCGCAGACCTGACCCTCGGGTTAGGTGTTTCCCCTGGAGCACATCTTCGGCTCATTACTGCTTGGTATAAAAGCCACTGGCAAATGCTCTTCTTCAATAGACTCAAAATCAAGTCACAGTCATTAAGATGAAACTGCAGTCAGCTCTTCTGATCTTCGTGCTGGTTGTCTGCGCCATTTGCACACAACTCATCCATGCGGAGCCCTTTGAATCCCGATCTGGATTGGGTGGACCTAGGCGACCACAAACATTGCCGCCAAACAGGCCACAGACGCCAAATTTTGGACCGTCGCGCTTTTGAACTGAGACAAATACTTTCTAAAAAATAAAATGCATTTTAATTGAACAAAGTGTTTTCTTCTTGTTTATTTCACTTAATCAAAAATCAGAGCATTTGCCACACTTGGATAAACAATTGGCAAATTACACCATGTTAAAACAATCTTTGTTTTTATCAATCTATTGACTTAAATACTATTTTGGATTCGGACTAAAAACACAAACGATGAAAAAACGTTTTCAGTGCGAAATACCATCGAGTTGGTAAAAATCATATAGCGGCGACTGCTGATGAAAAACTTATAAATCTACACAACTTATGGCTTAATGTTAGCAACAGAAGACACAGCAAGGAAATTACTTGCTACCTGTGAATTTGGACAGTTTCTCCAACAAGGCAATGTAGGAGATGTGCTCGTGAGCGGTGGCCAAGTCGGAAAGCTTCTCTGCAAACTCATTGCTGATGCCCTTCTCCTCGAGCAGATTCATCAACAGATCATACAGATAACCATCGAGCACATCGCCAGCAACGGCATAGATTTTCTCATTCCATTCGCCCTCGTAAATGGACATCTCATCGATGGAGAAGACATCGTTGTATTCACCCTCCTGTGCCTCGCCCTCCAAATAGGAGCAAGTGAACGACAGGGTTGTGTTGCCCTTAACAATATCCACCTCGAATTGCGGCTTGCTGCGCATTTCACCCAATTCGGGTTTGTCCGCATTGGGATTAATCTCTGGCTCCTGCTCGCTATCCACAGTGTGATTCACATTCAGGCTAATGATCACCTTCTCCTTGTCCGTCTGTTTGCTTAACTCCACCTCGGAGCCGGTCAGCTTCACGCTAAAGCCGTCCAATGTGGTGGGCACCGTTTTGCCCTTTTGCACCTTACGCTCCGCGAGAATCTCCTCGGTGAGGAACTCGACCAGCTCGCGTTCGCCTATTGAAATAAATAAATTATTAACATGATTTCAGAATTTCGCCTCTGACTGTTGTCAATCGCATGTTTTTGAGGTTATGTAACAGTCGCAAGAGGGGCATGTCTCCACATCTGTAACATCTTCTCTATCTTAACCAACTTACCCTTGGTGTGCACGTTGCAGCCACAGGTGCAATTAATGCTGGGCTTGTGCACATTCAATACGGTAACGTGGTCGCCAACTGCGTCCGCCGGCGTTTTAGTCATGTGCCACAGGCTGCGGGTGAAATCACGTTTGCCCAGTGCACCCGTCGCAGAGCTGGCCAAATTGGCGAAACGCAAAGTGGCTGTCTTCAGGCTGTTCATCTTGTGGTTATATAAGATTGAATATTCTCTTAATATAATAGTTAATGGAAAAATGTGTGGCTGCTTTCGTGTTGCAACTTGCAATGAGTATTCTAATTACATATCGATAACTCACACATACATATCGATATACGTTTTGATTACATTAGGTGGCAACGCCGCAAGCAGAAATTCACATTTCGGTTGCAGTTGAAACAAATTGAATGGAGAAATACTCTCAGATTCGGGATAAACTGCTTCTGCAAATTGAGGATGATGAGTGGGTGCATCCCCGTTGTCCACATGGTCCCACAGTGCTATTCTATCGACAAAGTCAGAAGCCCAACGATGGGTACTACGCCTGCTCTGCTCATCGCAACTCAAAGCTCTGTAATTTCCACATGGAATTCAATAAATGGCAAAGGAATAAACTTCAAAGATTGTTAGAAAATGTTCGCGATTATCCGCAGTCAACGAGAAACGATGACGATTCTGATCCTACAAATAATATGGAAGCACTCTCGCAAGACGAGGTGCATGCACAGTACTTTTTCGATCCGAGCGCCCTGGAATTCTTAGCGATTCAGTGTCGCTTGCTAGGAATTCAGTAAGTTAGATTGATAGTTGCATATAATCTCTCATAGAAAATTCTCCATTTTCTTTTCTGCCTCCCACAGCAAAGTGGTTTGCATGGGTGCACCTCGTCTCCACTTTTACCTTCGACGCACCACAAAAATGAAAAGTTTTTTGCTGGATTTTGATGAACGATTTGTTGTCTATTTGAGCTCCAAGGAATTTTGTCAATACAACATGTGCAACAATCACTTCTTTTACAATCCTGAACCATTCGAGCAGTTCCTCAAGTGCAACAGGTGAGTAGATAAGCAGCAATTTCCCCCTAATCTAAAGTTAATCTCTTGCAGCGATGAACGCGTCATGATTGTGACGGATCCTCCCTTTGGCTGTCGCACGGAGCTGATAGCAAACACATTGCGATCCCTCACCCGTCTGCATAATCGAATTAACAACCTGCCCGCCACTCCACTGCCCATCTTCTGGGTGTATCCCTACTACATGGCCAATTACATTGTGGATGATATGCCCGAAATGCAGATCTGTGATTACAAACTCAACTACACAAATCACAGTCGCTACACGAATGTGGGCGAATCACGACGGTGTCACGGATCCCCGGTGCGCGTCTTTACCAATGTGCCACTTGAGCTGCTGCAGCTGCCACCCGGCGAGGGTTACAAATATTGTCGGAAATGCGAACGCTTTACGGCCGTAGAAAATGTGCATTGTGATCGTTGTGGTGATTGTTGCTCCCGAAACGGACAAAGCTATCGCCACTGCCAGCTGTGTGATCTGTGCGTTAAACCCAACTATGTACACTGCCCCAACTGCAGACGCTGCTGCCAACGTGAGAATCACAACTGTGCCTTGTATCAGTCCAAGCAGCGCTGCTGGATTTGTGGACAACGTGGACATATTGAGAATAACTGTGGAATTTTGAAGTGCCGAAATCGAAAGGGGACGCAAAAACTGGGCTGCCTTCTTTGTGGCAAGGAGCAGCACACGGAACGCAGGTGCCCAATGCGCTCCAATTACTTGAAGGAAACCCAATTCATGGGACAAACAACGATCGTTGCGAGAAAGGGAGTAAAACAAAGGAAAAGAAAATTGTTAAAGTAGTTTGTCATTTTAACTCGATTTTAATGCCGAAATTCATATTTGCTCTTAACACACATTTAATGTTTAAATTAATCAAAATGAATGCATATGGAGAAAAACATGACCACCATAAATTGTGGAATGGATTTTATTTGCCACAAAGAAACTCTTTCAATCAAATAAAAGAACTTTGTTGCAGCAAAGTATGTAAATAGAAATTAAAGAAAATTTTGACAAAAATTCACAATTTTGTTGCTTGTTTTTTGTTTATCATTTAACGACGGGTAACTTAAGCTTAGACAATAATTAATTTCAAATGGAAAACACTTATTGCCCCCAACCAACGGAATGCAGATCTTAAAATTGTTGTCTCTTGTTGTTGTTTGTTGTTGTTTTGGCTGAACTGTTTGTATGAAATCTGATGACGTCGACAATTGGGTCGCGCGTCCGTTGAGAGGTGAAAGTATCTTTTAATGCGCTATGTTGAAAATGTCTAAGAACGATTGTATTTGCCCCAAATGTGTAGCATGAAAACCGAGGCGATAAACAGCAGCGACATAACCAGCACGGGAACTGGACCACTGGAAGAACGGGAAGAGAAGCAACAAAATCACAGTTAGCTGACAAAAAATGTAATCTTCACTTACACTTTGATGCCGGGTGAATCGTCCGTGTAGAAGCGCCACATGCCTCCAGTGCCTGCACCGCCGGGTGCACGACTCCTGGCCGCCGTTGTTGTTGTTGTCTTGCGCTGTTTTAGAGTGCTGCCGCCTCCAGCGCCAGCGCTACGTGGCGCCGACAATTTGCTGGGCGAGCGTGAGCCGCTGCCAACGGATGTGGAACTTGCAGGTGCAGGCTATAATAATCAATTGGTACCTTTCGTTTAAATTCTCTTCTCTAGTTGATTAGCACTTTTTAACTTACCATTTTAATTTAGATGTTTAACTTTAATTCAGAGCGAAATGTGCACTGAGTTCGTGAGTGAATGCGTGCTGACCTGGAAAAGTGTTGAATGCGATGAAATCAATTTGACAACTCTTCGTGTCAGTTTCGTGTTCCACGTCACCTGCCATTCGCTCGCGAACGTAACTATGACAGCGACCATTCGATAAGTTTTATTTATTCCAGTTTATTGCTCTTGTCATGTCAATGGAATGACAAGGATTTGGCGCTAAAGCCATTTTAAAGAAGCTTATAAATAATACTATTAAAACTAATGGAAACCAAAAAAAATAAAAAATACTTATATATTTCAGGTCTAATCTACTATACATTTATACTTTGACGCATAAAAAAAACAAATGTGCATATATTTATAATTTGCTATCGATTATGCCGTGTAATCATCGATATCATTTTCAATAGCAATCGCCAGTTCCAATGGATGTATATCAATTACATTTTTCTTGTGGGACTCTTAAATATTTTTATTTCGCAGATTGTGAGCTTAATTTAATTATGATTTTGTGCGCGGTGTGTTTATAAGCTAGAATACACTGTGCATGATATTGTGAGCGGGGTGTTTATTAATTAGAATACGCTGTGCATGAATACGCTGTGTATGCGATTTTGCCGCACCGTTGCTATGGTGCGTAAATTCATGACAAAACTCCAAACATAAATAAACTCAGTGTCAAATATAAAAGCAATAAGGAAAAAAAAGCGAAAAAACCGTGGCAAAACAAATTCAACAAAATATGGAGGATATTGAAATCGAATATCTGGACGAGTACAAAGACTTGGTGCTGCCAGGTGGGCAACAAAATGCCAATTTGCTTATTTACCATTTGCAATAATTTTCGATAAATTGCCAGGCATTAAGACAAGCAGCGACAGAAGCGCGGCAACTGGGGCGATCTCATATCAAGTGCCCCTTCCACGGCGGAGACGCATCTCATCCGATTCGAGTGGTTCCTCATCCATTGATCCGGATATTTTTCAAAAACTATTCGATGGCAAGCTTCTGGAAGACGAGATGCTCACCGAAAGTAAGTCAAATTACAAATGCAAAAGCTACTTTTATAATTTCTAATTTGTGCACATATGCATTTGTATTTTATTAGGCGGCTCAAATGCCAAAGGAAGAAGTAGACGTCGCTTAAGTTCACCATCGAGCGATTCGAACGATGCTCTGGACGCATTGTACAATCGCCAAGTGAACAAAAGACGTGATCGCTTCGAATCATACGATTCAATAGATGATCTGGGTATGTAAACAGAAATACTGATTGAGTCAATCTCTTAATATGTATTTATGTTCCGATAGGGGATGTGCTGATGGGCGCCACACACAGGTCGCTGGCAAGGACCAACTCTCAGCCAGCCAAGAAGTCAGCGAGTGACGGACTGCAGCGAGGCAGAGGTGGCAGCATCGTTGCCAAGTCGAAAAGTGCTGAAAGTCGGCCGCAGGCAAACAAATCAAATTTAAGTGTTGCGTCGATGAAGCCAAGCAGTAAGACTGATAGCCTCAAGCTGGGATTTAGGACAAACGGTACCAGTAGCAGCAGTTGCAAGAAAGCAATAACCATTATAAAAGCTCAGAAACCGGATCTCAAGCCGCCCAAGCATGAGCCCAAAGAGGATCCACTCCGTAAGTCTTAACTTCATATATTTGTAGACAATATTTTAAATTTAATTTGAATTTTTGTTTAAGTTTATCAAAAATGCTAGTATATTTATTATATATGTATTTATTATTATATTATATATAATTATTATTATATTATATTTGTAGTAAAAGTAATCTACTTTTCATTCAATTCTTTGCAATTAAAAACTAAGTATTTTAAACTGTAAATAAATTTAAATTTAAACTGCATCTATAAGATTTCATCCATTTGTTCGCTTTTTGCAGATTTGGAGGATTTCTCCGATGACTCGGACAGCGACTTGTCTTATGAATACGAATCGGATTTCTATGGCTATGGCGATTCCGAGGACGAGGATGGCGAGGGCTCCAAGCATATAATTGATATATCAACGGATAGCAATACGGTGGCGGGTAAGTCATCATTAAGCGACTAGTTGATACTGCCAACCCTCTGATTATATTTATAATGTGCGTCAAACAAACCGTGTAGACACTGTGACACCTGTTGTTTCCGATGACGAAAGCCAGTTGCAGCTGCAACAGCAGCAAACGCTGCACGCCGCCACCGAGCGTCTGCATTTGTACTTAAATAATCAAAGTGGCGCTCGAAAATCGCGTTCTAATGAAAAATCATTCTCCACATCGAAAACAACTGATAATAATGATGTCGTTGATCAGGCGCTGCCAATGGGTAAGTTTATCCAAATTCCATTTACACTTCCGGCGTATACATTTCACATTTATCATTTAAATCGTCTTAAATCTTTGCAGCCGAGCAGTCTCAACGTGATGGTCTCTCCTCCAGCAGTAGAGTCTCAGATAAAAAGCCTCGTGCCGATCATGTCGATGATAATAATCTTACGTATGAAAAATTAGGGCGTTTTAGCCAAAATTTGACCGCTAAAATCATTAAGACTGATGCGGACCGCTCCATTGAATTTAAGAAACGTTCCGGTTCAAAGCAGCGTAGTATATCGCCCTCCAAACTGTTGGCCAACTCATCTCTCTACGCGAATCACGTCCGCAAGCTAACCTACACCAACGAGAAAATTGATGAGATTGCGCCAATGCGTCGGACCAAGAGCGATGAAGCATTTGCGAAACGTGGTCGCTGTGGGAGGCAGTCAAAAAGTAGAGCCGCCACAACAGACGAACAGAGCAAATGCAATTCGCTGTCGCCAACGAAAATAACATCAACAGAAACAACACTAACAACAACAACGGAAAAGGAAAAGGAATCACCCAATAAGGAACCTTCATTAAATACGAAATCTCCCGCAATACCAGAAAAAATCAAGCGCAAACGTGGCAGACCTAAAAAAAAGAAGTTTCCTTCAGCGAATGCTTCAGTTTCGGAGAATCAAACTGAGAAGCCCAGTACGGTTTTGCCTGACTGTGAAAACTCAACTGTTGTCAGTGTAATTGATAATTTAAGCTCGAAAATAACTAACAACAAATTGGATATACAAATAGACACAACTAAAAGTGAAAATCAAAAAGGATTCGATTCTATCAGTTGTGCTGCAACGGAAGAGCCAGTGATATCAGAATTACTTAAAGATAATTTAATGGATTCAAGAGAACCGGATACTAAAGACACAATGAACGCAGAAAGTGAGCTTAAATCAACAGCAGCAGCATCTGAGCAACATCTGTGCGTAGAATATGCATCCTCGATTGAAAAGCTTAATCCAACAGTTGAAACAAATTGCCAAATTTTGAATGTCAAAAATGTTGTTGAAGGTGTTGTTGAATGCCATATCGATACTTGTGCTGTGAAGTGCGTCGCACCAGAAACATGCTTGAAAACTTTCGAAGAAACTGAAAATACAATCTTAAGCACAGCAATCGGAGAAATCGCAGACAGAACCGTGGATAATAGCCAGGACAAGACCTCTTCAAATGTGATAGAAACTGTGCAAGATGATGTCAAACAATCTGAACTAATACTGGAGGCAAATAATGAAAATTTAAGTGAAAAACTAGAAGAACAACAACAACAATCGACAGAGGCAGAAGCAGAAGCAGAAAGCATGACAAACCAAACAGAAAATAATCACTTAATTGTTGTGGCAACATCCAAGAAAAGTTCAAACACGCCTCATCGAACAACAATGAGCGCAATTTCGAGAAAAGCGTTACGCTCTGCCTCAGCCATGGCTAGTCCATTGCCAGAGAGTCAAATTCTTTCGTCGGGACTGGAAAGTCGTAGCGGTAAGCGCTTGCTTAAGGATGATCTTGCATTAGCGAAGAAACCAACGCAAAATCGCAATAGTCCTTGCATCTCCGATAAGACATCGGAGGAGTGCAGTGATTCGTCTGCAAACTCGAAAGAATTGTATATTAATAATAATAATGATGAAACGCCACAACAATCAACAGTTGAGAACAAAGTGGCAGAAATAGCTAAAGATGAAATAGAATCTTTAAGTGAGAGACATTTGCGCAGCTCCAAAGCGTCTACGACTGCAACTTTGGCCAAAAACCCTTCACGAAAGCAGCCATTAAAAACAGCAAAAGACGATGGCAAAGGGGACGTAGTTTTAACAGAAAAGAAATCTCGCCGAACAAGGCAAAAAAAGAATATCGAAAAGCCGATTGAGGCTGAAGTATTGCCAGAAGGAACCATTGTGGATAAAATCCATATTGAAACGATTACTGCACTGGTCGATGAAATACCCTTAAGTGCAGAGGCTCCTCAATTGAAGGCCGACATTGCAAAGCTAGCAGACGTTGCGAATATAGAAATAGAAACATTAGGTGAGAAATTAACGACTGAAAATGTTTCAGATGATACTGTTGCGAAAGAACAGAAAGAATCGTCTGAAGAACAGATGTCACCAACCAAACCAGTCAGCGAGGAGTCAGTGAATCCACATGATATATTATCTCTAGGCTCTCAGAATTTTTTCTTAGAAGGGGACTTAATCCGGCGATCGACTCGTTCTCGAAAACAGACCCAAATCGCATTGCCATGGCGTATTCGATCAAGGGAAAATAAATCCCAGGAGCAGCATAAAAGCGCTGATGAAACGGAATCAACGCCAAAGCCAAAGAAAAGTGAAAGAAAGGGAACTATCAAGAAAGACAAAAGCGAGGCGGATCAAACTGTTTATGATACTCCAATTTCAGACTCCATCGATCAGTCGGAAATTGTGGAAAGGAGTATAGAAAAGCGGATTCCAATTGAGGATTCAAAAAATCACAGCAGCCAGGCAGTGGAGAATCAAGTCACTTCAGATTCAGATGACATGCAACTCGCTCTTGTTCCAGACACACACATCACCTGCTCTTCAAGTGGTTCATGCCGCAAGCTACGCGTATTGCTTAAAAGAGTGGAAGCCAAATCTAAAACTACTTTGTGCCATAAGTTCGAAAACTATGTTGATCCTCCTCAGCAGGAGTTGGAAGACATCACACAGGATACGCCAACAGAGGTAGTTACATTTTTCCATCAAGACCAAGCTACTGCTGCTAATAAAGAACCAACGGATTCAGGACCATCTGCTGGTAAAGACGAATCCTCCGAAAATATTGATCCATGTGAGACGACGGAAAAATCCACAGACCAATCTCCGTTTGAATCGCAACCAAAGCAGACTATTGTGGATCAAGAACAATTAAGCAACGATGAAAACGAGTCTGTAATCGAAGAACAGAAACCAGTGGAGGAAGATGCTGATAAGGATCTACCTCAAAACAAGACAGAGAGTGAAGAAAAACTACAAGCGGAGACGGAGGAAGGTGCTGAGAAAAATGTTCAGAAAATTGGTGTGGAGAATAAGGAACAACAACCGGTCGATGAAACTTTTGATGAACACAAAGATGAACAGCCAATTGATGCGGAGATGAAAGAGCAGCAGCCTAAACCAATTGAAACTGAGGCTAGGGAGCAACCGGAACAAGATGAGAAAGAAGACATTCCCGAAAAAGATCAACAGCCACAAGAGACGAAGGAATATGCTGCTGGCATCGATCAACAGTTATTAGATGAGAGGGTTTCTGCAACCAAGGATCAACCACTAATTGAAACAGATTCTAAGCCGGATCAAGCTGCTGGCAGTGAACAGCCGCAAACGGATAATTTTACTACTCAACTTAATCCCACAGAAACAACAGGTGTCGTGAGAAGTGTCGATGGCGTCAGCACCGTTGAGGGTTGCATCAATTCCGTGAGCTCCGAAGCGGAAGCGAATGTGGATGCCTCCCAACCAGATGGTTAATAGCTATTACTAATTAATATTTAATTTACACAAGCTCATTTTGAATACTCAACACGTTATCTAACTCTTTTTGGTTCTCCAAATCCGCTCTTTCTGTCTTTCAGAGGCAAGCAAAAGCAAGCTGTCGGCGAAAGAAAGCAATTCCCGGAAGAGTAACACAATGGCACCACCAGCACCGCCCAAAAGGGAGCTGTCCACCGGGAAGGCGGGTAAGTAGTGTATCAAATTATGCTTTCAAGTTTCAAATTCAAATATAAACCAATCTTATTCCAGTGCTGCGACGTATGGGCAAACCCATACAGGTGGATGTGCAGCCGTTAACAAAACGCCGCAAGCTTGTGGACACAATTGTGTTTTATGATGACAGCAAGGACAACAAGGAAACCACCAAAGAGCAAACGATCAATGAAGTGCCCGCAGCCAAGGCGGCAACGTCCAAGAAACAACTGTCAGCGACGCAAAAGGTGCCGGCAATGTTGGGCAGAAAGTCCGACTTGCCAAAAGTGTCGACGGTGAAATGCAGTGTATCCACATTCCTAAGCCCCGAACGGCCACTGGCAGTGGACAATTCGGTAATAATAACGACAACGGCCATAGCAAATCCAACGGTGGAACCCTTCAAGAAAGTGGAATCAGCAACAGTTGGCAGTGGCATTAATATCTCTGTCTCATTGGTGCCCGATGCAGTTTTGCCACAACCCAAAAAAAAATTAACCCAAGCAGAAACTGCAAAGAGGTTGATTTCCGTAAAGGCGGCAAGCTCCAAAAAGACGGAAGCATCCGCAGCAGCAGCAGCAGTAGCAACATTAAGACCTGTTGCCAAATCCTTGCCAGCAGCAGCAGACATGCCAGCAGAAGGCAGCAAGGCAAAGCCACGTAAGTCTGTACCCGCAACCAAAATAACAGGCAAAACTGCAGCTTCAGTTTTAAGTACGCAACCAGCTAAGAAGTCGTTACCAAAGAAGGAGACTAGCAAAAAATTGATTACTAAAGCTGAAGCAGCAGCTACAAGCTCGTCGTTGGCCACCAGAAAATCAGTGCCAGCAAATCTGTTGGAAGCAGCTAATGCATCTGCAATCACTGTCAAAACCAGCAACAATATCATTCAAGTAATCGAAGCGGCAGCAGCAACGAGTCCCAACAAGAAGCACGAAGTGCGAAAAGTTGCCAACAAAACTATGGGTAAACTCAAGTCAAATGAAACGTTGCAATCTGGAGCAGCAGCAGCAACAGTTGCCATGACGTCAGCAAATCCCCCAAATGCCACACCAGACTCCTCCCCCTCCACTCGCGACACAAAGCGAGCTGCTCGCATTGCGAAACCATCTTTGGCAACGCCGCATGTTAAACGTGGCGGCAGTCACACACGCTCCACAGCGGGCACACCCACGCCTACACAACAACAAGAAAGTTCTAATGAACAACAGCAACAATTGGCAATGCAGCAGCAACCAAAGCCGCAGCGCCAAGCACGACGACAGCTAAAAATGCACCCGGCTAAGGAAAAGGCGCAGTGTCAGGCTGCTGCTGCTGCTCCTGCTTCAGCTCGTGTTCTAGCTCCCACACCTGCTCCAGCTCCCATACCTGCTCCATCTCCCACTCCATCTCCTGCGCCTGCTCCAGCAACATCTGCTGTTCAGTTGCCTGAGCAACAACCAGTGAAACATCTTCCGTCGCGCAAACGCAAAGTGCCAGCTAAATTCGATGTGGACTCGGCAAGTGTTAAACGACTGAAAGAGACGCCCACCGCCAAGCCGGAAGCAAAAAGTATTGCGTTTCCCGTGCTCATCACAGCTGCCACAGTGGTGCTGCCCGAAATATCATCACCAGCAGCAGCAACAGCAGCAGTGGCAGTTGCAGCAACAGCAACAGAAACAACAAAACAACAATGCGTACTACCAGCAAAACATCCAACTACAAATAAGTTGCATCTAGAGCCACAACTGCGGACGCCAAAGCTGCGCAAGTTGCATGTGCGTCTAAATCGCAACTGTTTCAAAAACTGGCTAAAGGCTCATCAGCAACAGCAGGTTGTGGAGCAACCATTACCAACTGACCAAGCCGAGTTAGACTCAGCAGCGGAACCAATCCCAAATGTGCCATCTTTGATTGCAATACAACAATTGCTGCCCAGATTGTCAACGATTAAATCTGTGCCGTTGCCGGTGCCGCTGCCTTCGCTGGAAATCAAGTCGGAGCAAGATGCGGATGAGCCACAGCCGGAGCAAATGGATGTAGATGTGCCCCTTGTTGCAGCCAGAATAAGAACAGAAAAAGCTCCTCTTATTTCGAGCACAATGCATAGTTTAATGGCAGCAGCAGCGACAACAGCAGATAATTGCATGCAGCCAACCAGTGTTCTAAGCAATACCATCAGTACCACTGTAAATACCACCATCACCAGCGCCATCACCACCACTGACAGCAGTAATTCAGCAATTCAATCCGCCAGCAGCGGCGCCGTTAGAGATTCACTCACATGTGGCACAACGAAAATGTTTACATATTTATATCCGAAGCGCTCGCTGTGCTCATTTGGTCATAAGCCACTCGATTACTGCTGCCAAAATCTGGATGGGCCAATACCAGCCATTGATCCGACACGGATGCATGAAAAGGTTGAGGTGCCGGTGCTGGAGCTGCCGCAGTGCATGGTCATCACGACCAGAATCATCTCGAAGCACGACAAGAATATACCGGCAAAGGTGCTCGCCAAATTTGAGCAGCTGACGGCCAAGGATGGTCTGCCCAAAGTACTGCAAACGGTGACGATGACGACGGCGATACCACCGACACCAGCAGCAGTGCTTGCTCCACTGGCCGCTGTAACTGCTCCACAACAACCCACTGCACATAATCTTGATCGTTTAGCCAAGCAGCTCACAAAGAAACAGCATCCGCCAAATGTGGGTACTCCTGCTCTTGCTCCTACTGCTGCTCCTGCAAAAGCGCTACCAGTGAACAGTTCACAAACTGTGACCAGCAATCTCATACCCAGGCTGCTGCAGTTGCCACCCATTTGTCCCTCGGATAAGCAGCGCATGGAGCTCCAGACACGCGTGCAGCACTTCGATGCGGTGCTGCAGAACCTCTCCAGGCGAGCGGCCGCAATGAATGTGTCGGAGCGACAGCTGGTTATCGAGATGATCGTAAATACGAGCACGTTATTACCCATCGATGTGGATGTGGGCACCAAGTTGCTGGAGAATTATGTATATTATTTGAATGCAGTCACCAATACCTCGCCAAGTCCACAGTTGCGCTCCATTCTTACGCCCGCACCAGCGACATCGACAACCTCATCCAACAGCAAATTGCTGCAGTCCAAGTCACTAAGTCGAAATCTTACAACGTCGGCTATTATGCGTCCGACATCAACGTCATCAACGCCCGAACCTCGACGACCCATTTACGATAAGCAGAGAAACATTATTGGCTACCAGTACAGAACGAATCAATCATCGCCACTGCGTACAACAGCAGGGAGCAGCGGCAGCAGCAGTAACAGCAGCTCGAGAAGCTCCTCGTTACCAGCGGGAACACCAATTGCAACAGTTGCTGCACAGCAGCAGCTGCAACGCACACGCTTCCTTATGGTGCCCAATGCCAGCAGCAAGGTAAATCAAATCAAATATGCATTATCTATCTGCATATTCTAATTATTGTCCCTTTTTGCAGATCGCGGTGGTTAATTCGGTGGCACAATCAACTGTTGCTCTGGCGCCGCAGCGAGTGGGTTCGAGCAACATGATACCGGTCTATCCGTCACGCAATTCGAAAGGCTTGCCCCAAAAGGCAGCAGCAATAATCTCGGCAGACAAAGCGACACCCGTTGGCGTTGTCAACGGTGTCCCTATACTCGGATCGAGTGCATCTGCATCAACAGCTACAAATTCCCCCTCGAATCGTAATGTTTTCATTGTCAATCAGTTGCTTTCGCAGCCGGAGGAGTGCATATTGCCGGATGCGATTGGTGGCACCGTCGTAGCTGCCGAGATCAAAGACGAACTTGACGATGGGGAAATCCTAAATTAGGATAACACACTTATTTAGTATCAACGTATTATTTATACTTAAATCACTAATTAATATATGAAAAGTACATTAAGTTACTTTACAGAAAAAAATAACTTTAAAAACAAGACATAAAAGGATCCCTATATTTAATGCACATATGTAAAACATTTTTTGTGGTTTCGAAATAATTTTTGTTGAAATTTGCCATTAATCTTTGTTTTAAAATTAATATGAATTGCTAATTAATAAAATATTTTATTATATAAAATATATTAACGAGTGCTTCTAATTGCAAAAATTCATATAAAATTCCTTCTTGATTCAGCACAAATTAGGTTGCGGGATCGGGTAAGTTGCCCTGAAGCAAAATAAAACGGTGGAATACTTTTAGGAACAGGCAGGTGACGCGAAACAAGGCTAGATTTAAATGCATTTAAGGAGGATTATGGGATCATCTCAGAATCCAACCAATTGCACGGAAAAAAGTCGAAAACTCCACATAGCTAACAAAAGATTTTGAGGGAGATTCGAAAATTATACAGAAAAAAAATAAATGCAGATAATATAATAAATTTAAATTCAAATGGCATTTTTAGCATAATAATAAAATGTAATAAACTTATTGTTATTACTGTACAAATTTAAAGATTTGTTTAACTTTCTACATGCAGTTTTCGTTTGCAGCCGTTCTTATCGATCAGCGTTCGCCGTCCAACAAATAAGAACGCGCTATTTAGCAACAAGTTGGCAGTCCCAACTTCAAAATTCGTGCGGCACGTTTTAATATTTTTTTATACACAGGTCAAAGCAAATTACAAACCTACAAAGTTCATATATATTTCAGTACTACACAGCTACTGCTGGCTTCAGACAACAAAATTTAACGAAACTTAATTTATTATTTATTTACATAAATAAAACAAAGCGGTAATATAGCATTCACCAAAAGTTTGCGTGACGTCACAGCCACTCTTAGAGCTTACGCTCCAAGAGAGTGTCGCAAGAGAGAGTTGCGCACTGCGCTACCTTAGAAATGTGTGCTAAATGATTTCGGCATTCTTATAAGCAAGAGAACATCGGAAAACAACAACAGTTTTCGTTTGCCGGCTGTTTGCAACGCATACTCATCAAAGGGGGGTCCGCAACGCACTTTTTACACTTGATCGCTTGCTCGCTTCGTCTGCGTCCGTTGCGATTGTTTAGTTGGTTTGGTGTTCTTGTTGTCGACACAACAACAAAATATTAAATAAATAAGTACATAAGGAACCTAGCGATTAGTCGGCGTGCAGTGTCGTCCAAGTGTGAGTGTGTGTTCCCAATTTACAAGGAGGGAGTGTGTGTGTTTTTTTGATACATGTTTTGGTTGAAATGGCCGTGGAAATAGCAAACTCAGTATTATCGCTGCAGCCGATGGCAATTGAAACTGAAACCCCTCTCCATTGGCAGCTCGAGGACTATGCATATTTTCACAAATGTGGCGAGATTACAACCTCACCCGATGTCCAATGTTTTGGCTTCAATTGTGCATTCTGTCCGGCAATTTGTCTGCAGCTGTCAGTCTTCATCGACCACATACGAACGCAGCACATGCAGGATATGCGAAGGCGCTATGAAAATGCCGCTGCTGCTGCTGCCAGCGACGAGAAAATCGAGCAAACCACACAAACCGATTTAAATCTAATGATAATGAATATGGACACGAGCACAACGGGAGCAGCAGCAGGAACTACTCCTTTGACCACAACAAATAAACGCTTGAAAAAAACAGCGAGCAATTGGAATGAGAATGTGAATGTGAATGAGAATACTGCACCCATTTGGGACATGGAAATGGACATGGCTCTGGATTTGGTTAACATTGCGCAGACAACAAGCAACAACTACAACAGCAGCAACAACAGCAACAATGCCTGGCAATTACAGCTTGGCAACACGGGAATAACAGCAACAGCAACCACAGCTGAAATTGATTATGTTTATGTTATGCAAAATCCATTGCCACCCTCGCCGCCACCCTCGACGGATGAGCAGCGAAGTCCGCGACTGCTGCACTCGATGGATGCATTTGAATTGCTGCATGTTGACTCAACGATTGTCTCTCCACACACACAGCAACACACCTATGCACACCCACATACACCTGCACACACATACACAGCGACACCCTTGGACTCGGTGGGACTACTCACCACACCGCACCGTTATGAGACGCGACGCGTGGTAAGTTAATCGTTGATTCTTTGACCTGTCCATTGCCACCCTCTCCCCCACCCACTCCTCCACGCCCCTACCCTCCCTCTACGCTGTTTGGCATTTTGCTGATGTTGTCGTTGTTTAACATTGTTTTTCCTGCGATTCCGTAATGCAAAAAGGGGTTTCCGTTATTTGTTGCTGATGTTGTTGTTGCTGGGCTCTTTGTAAATAAGCCCCGACAACAACACTGGCCCGGACACGACCTTCAAAATAACGGCGCATTTGCGGCAACATTGGCAATGCCACAAAATACTAAAAACTGTGTCGCATTTTTATTTATTTTTTTTTAAATACCCTATCTCCATGCAGCATTTATGGTATGCTCGACTAGTGACCGTGCAAATTGAGCCACAAGTTGTTATTGGAAAATAGAAAAAAGTTTGCAAGCAAGCAGAATAGTTGTTTAGCAACTTTTAATTTACATTTAAATGAATTTATTGATTATTTTTTATTAGCTCCTTGAATTGGGTAGTAAAAACTAATTGCCTAATTGCCTAGTCACTATCAACATTTCTTACATTCTCCAATGTCAACAGATTTAAATTTGTGGCCTGTAAAGTTTCCCATATGCGGTCAAATTCTGTATATTCAACATTCGTAAAGTATGTTACGAATGTTAGAAATTCGCCCCGAGTATTTGTTAATGTTATGAAAAGTGAGACAATATCATATGCACCATATATTACTAGAAAGTTAGGAGCTTTTTAAATTACATTTATAATTTAATTTAATTTTTATTGAATTGGAATGCTGTAAGCAAAAGAGAAATTAAAACCTTTTTCATTTTTAAATTTGTTTCTTATTTATTGTGTTGTTTGAGGCTAGTTGATCATATTCTTTAGCATAGATTAATTAATTAATTTAGCATAGACAAATAAATATAAGCTGATCAGCTGTGTTATTTAAGTCAAGCAGTAAATTTGCCACTCACACGTTAATGGAATCACGAAATGTTAGTAATGTGCTTGTAAGAAATGTTGGGCATAATGGAATCGGGCTATAAGAAGAAATTGTTTGACATACAGGGTATATCGTAGTCGAGCTTTTGCTCACTTTTGAGATCTTCTCGTTACTCACATAGCCCCATTGCTGCCTGCTTAACCCGCTGCACAAGTTGGGGGTGGCCAAAGGTGGCTAAACGGCTAAACGGAGGCATCGGCAGACAGTTCATCAGCCCACGAAAAGTTGATCGCTATTTTTACTTTTGCTGGCCATGCGACGCAGTTTTTCGCTTTTCCACATGTTTGGGTTTTGACAAATTTTTTGTGGAAAAATTTATACAGATATATGTATATATTATATATATATTTGATGCCAAGAGCAACCAATGCACATGACAACAGAAACAGCAAAAACAAACTTTTATTTTGCAAAGCAAACACACAATAATTTATGCGCTAACAAAATAAAAACAGCAGATGCGTGGAAAAAGGCCTTTCGACTTGGAAGTTTTGTTTTGATAGCAACAAAATTGGAACAGTTTTTGTTTATATTTTCTTTTATTTTTCAAATTACTTATCGTCGCTAAATACCAATAAAGTTTTTACTCAAAAGTAATTAAAATACCCATTCATGTAAGATGATAACATATACTTAAAAATTAGCAATGCAAAAATTGTTTTTCATACCAATTTCTGAATATTTTTTTTCTTTAAAACTAAATAAAGAAAAGTGTGGCCTAACAGTCTAATTGGAGTTTAGCTACAATTTTCCAATTAAAACACAAAAGGGCCAAGTACTAAAATTAATATTTCAATTGCTGTGAAGTCTGGCTGTGCATTGACAATGCGGGATACGCAAATATGGGCGTTTTTAGCCTTTTCATAATGTGCCCATGTACCATGTGCCAATAATTTTGGATAATTGCGACCTTGACAGCACATTCGAGCCAAAATTGGACAAACATACTTATATATATAGACGTAAATGGTATATGTCCAAAGATATATACTCGTATTTATAGAAATATATCTATATGTATGTCCGCTGGTTGTAAAAATCTTTACGCTTGTTTTACGAATTCATATGTGAAAACAAATTTTGAAAATACATTTAATGCGCATCAAATTCTCGGGTGCCAAATGTGAATTTCGAATGTGATCCGGAAAAATGCATTCAAGCATGTGGGACACTTTAATAACATTTATTAAGAATGTAAATGAACTGAAGCTAGACGAAAGTATAAGGGTATTTTGTTTCACATGTATGTATTCTATTATTTGACACAAATTCGACCATTGTTTAGGTTTCTAGCTGTACGGGTGCGTATGTAAAATATTTCCAATATTATCATGTCGAATTATCGTCACTTCAAAGCATTTGCTATTTTTATACATGCAACACAAGTTGAATTATCGCTTAAACCTCCTAACCGAATATCGATATCACAACCAAATCGACAGCACAATAACAGAACACAGACCCATACGATTGGTGATACTATGTCCCAGACAGGCCACACCAAAAAAAAAAAAAGAAAGCAGAAAAAGAAAACACTTCTATACAATTACGATTAATAGCACTCGTTTTTTACGTCGGAGCACTTGTATTTTATTCGTTTTTTTTTTTTTTATCAATACGGGGTAGGTCTGGGGGCGCATTTGCCTGTAAGCGTTGACGTTGCCATTATCTATAAACCGTGAAAGTAAACAGGCCGGGCAAATTATCTATGCTTCGATTAGGCTGACATTTTCTATACACACCACACGCACAGTGGGACGAGTACATATAACGAATAGTTAGCAAACAAGCTCATTATTTATTTTATTCATTTTACAAGTTGAATTTTAGAGAAATTCGTAATTGTTTGCATATTTCATTATCTGCAATTAATTCTCCACCGAATTTCACAACATTAACTAAATCTTTCATTGTATTCTCAAATTCTCTAATTAAATTGATTCTTTTCTATGATATCACAAATCTCGATCGCGATCGCGATCGCTCTTCAAATGCGTAATCTGACCCAAATAAAACAACATGAGCAACAATGACGTTATTTGAAGCACTTGAGGTAATTTTCCATGGAGCCGTGCAGCAGATCATTTGATCGAACTTTGAGCAAACAACTCTATCTCTGATCCAATACCCAATTCCCAATTCAATCCAACATAGAGCATCTTTTACTCACCCACTTGAGAATGTTATCAGCAACCGTTGTGTGCGGCTAATCAAATAACTTCGTTTTTTTTGTCGATGCTTGTCTGCTATTGAAAACAGCTCGGTAGATAAGGCCAACTGCGGTGAACGGTGTTCTCTGGTTTTGGGTTTAAGGAGGTTTTAATGTTGATTTAAAGACCTGCAAATTGGTAAATTTAGAGCACCTGTCATAAAAACCTATCGCAACGTTGTTTCGATTGGAACTCATAAATCATTGCCCAACTTACCTGAAAGGAAAAAAAAAAACAAAAACAAAAGTAAACTGTGGAAATCGCAATGTGATAGCCAATATAATGTAAGAATTCCATTCGAATTGGAACGTAATCCGCCCAAAAGCGAAATCACTTTTGATACCCACACACCATCATATATCTAATGTTATCTTATCAATTTAATACAATTTACAATGTTTGCTGTACGGCTAATCGTCATCAAAAATAAATCTGTTTTTCTTTATAATTTTTTTTTTTTGGTTCGGTATGAGTTTAACGATATATACGATTAATTGTGATAACAAGTTTTGCAACTGTATGATGATTCCCTCGATATGCTCTACTTTTTTAAAAGTTAAAAATAAGAATGACAAAACGAATTTAAATGTTATTTTTGATTATCTTGATTTTGATAATGAGGAGGATATATAAAGCTTCTCCACCTGGTATTTCTTTCGTCTTTTTTGTTGGCGTTGTTGTTCTTTCTCAAGGTCCCTTCCTATAGTGGAATCGGTCGTTTAATGTGCATGCTAATTTAATAATATATTTGGGATAACAAGTTTTTCAAATGAATTGAGCACAATATGAGCTGTAATATTTGATATACATTTTCTTATATATTGATAAATCCCTCGATAACTTCTATTTGGTTCAAACTAATAAAATTAAAATTAAAAACCAAATGTGAAAGCTATTCTTGATTGTCTTGATTTAGATTAGGAAGAGGATAATTAAACTTGCTCTACATGGTATTTTTTTCGTTATTTTTATGGCTGCGTCTCAAGGTCTTTTGCGTGTGTTCGAATCCATCGTTTAATGTGCACGCTAATCATTGTGAAAACATTCATTTAAATAAAAACCCAAAACAAATAATTAATATTTTATCAGTTGCACTTATTAAATAATTAACATGTTTGATTTAACATTTATTTAGCAAGTTTTGCCTTTTTTGTTTTATAGATACCTACCAGTTTTTCTTTTTTTTTTTGGCATTCCATAACCAAACCACCCACCTGATCGATCAGGTGATTTACCGTCATGATCTTTATAAGCAGTCTAATTAAATTACCGCCGGACTTTTGACAGACTGACTGGCGAAATTATTCGTTTTTGTCTTATAGTCTAAGTTGCGCCATTCACGTGCACAAATAAGTTAATAACGTCGCATTAGCGACTGAAATTGATTGCATCAGGAATACTTAGTGTATTATCTCTGGCCAGTGTAAGTGCTGCGGTATCCTCGGTTCGCTTTGGATCGATGGCACGTACACAGAGCATATCGTTTGGCAGAGACATCATTTTATTTTTTTTATTTAATTTTACATTTTCCAAATAAATACCTTTAGAGTTATTTGTTTATTTATATGTAAAAAAAAAGTTAAAAATTGTATCTAATTTATAAACATTTATAATAAATATTAATATTAATTTATTTAATGTGGATTAAAATCAGAC